CGCATCCAAACCCCGCGCAGGGGAGGCCTCGGGTTAGTGAACACAGTCCTGGTTGGCTGCACTGGTGGCCTGCTGCTTGGGATGCCACTCTGATCCGCCTTCATACTTTCCTTAGAAAGGAACCGTGTCATTCCTAATTACTAAATACTGGAACAGTTTGTGTAATACCTTTTGAAATATCTTTTCATAGAAATTCTTCAGACCATTTGAGTTTGAATTTGTCCTGTTTGGATAGCCAAATCCATTTATTCTTAAGTAATCTTGTACAACTTCTCTATTAATTACTCTTATTTTTTATTCACAAACTATTTTTTGGGTTATACATACTATTGACTAGAGTTTATTTTTTTTCATTAGTTTCTCTCCATAGTGTATTATTAAATCCTGGCTATATGAAGGTACTCTCTGACCAGCAGAAAAAAGCCAGTGTAAGTTCATTGAGGGACAGTTTGCTAAGGACAATTTAGAAATTAAATAACTAAAGGATGAGGAGTAGAAGAAATTTTGGTTAAAAATATTTTAGAAATAATCTCTTTTTTAAAAAAACTTAATCTGAATTCTGAGAAAATTTTAAGGCTATTTTCTAGATTTATTTAATATGTTTTTGCTTTCTAGGAAAGCAGACAGATTTTCAGCTTCCTTATGAAATAAGCTGACCCTCAGGAGAAAATACAGATTGACAGTGGATTTATATCTTAATAGGGGCCCGGTGCACAAAATTTGTGCACGGGTAGGGTCCCAAGGCCTGGCCGGTGATCAGGGCTGATCTGTGGGGCAACTGGCGGGCTATTTGGGGGCCCCCACTGGCATTGACCTTGGCCAGCCTGGTGCCGCCTGCTTGCCGGCCCCGCCCCTCGCCAGTTTCCTCCCTCTGGCACCCTCCTTGGTTGGCGACTGGTTGTTTTCCTGCTGGGTCGATTTGCATATTAAACTTTTATTATATAGGATAATAATTCTCAGTAGTATTTTCTTTCTTAATTGTCAGACTATAACAGAATAGGAAAAGAAAAATAGAATTCTGGGGGAAGGTCAAAAGTGAGTGTGCATTAGAGTTCTTAACACTAAAGTATGTAATAGGAGTTTGGTAAAATAAAAAGAATTGTAAAATGAGTTATAAAGTAAAATAATTTTCCTTTTAATATGTTAGTGAGGGTGGATAAGATGAAACAAAAACATAGAATCATTGGGCTAACTCACATTAGAAGAACTTGGTTTTCTCAATAGGGGTTTGGCCACCTGAAGGAGGCAAGCATATTTGAAACCTGGGCAAAAATATACAAGGTTTGGAATTTAATGAGAAGCTATTATGGATACATAGCAATATATTCATCTTACAAATTTAATTGAGTGCCTACAGGTGGTACTAAATGACTGAAAAGTACTTGAGATATGGCAGTGAGCAAAACAGACCAGGTGCCTTACCTCATGGAGTAAATTTACATTTTGAAAATGCGTGTGTGTGTGTGTGTGTGTGTGTGTATGTATATGTAGGTATGTAGTATACTGTAGTAATGGACATAGGCAGTGCCATTTTATAACTGTTCCCCACTGACAGGTGGAGAGTGGAAGCGGAGAAAAACCATTAAATGAATTGACAGAATAGGCAAATAGGTGAGGAAGTTAAGGATGCTAACCAGGCATTTTTGGAAGGGCTTTCCTTCACAGATTGATTTCTTGAAAAAATTACCTAATGACCATCTTTTCAAACCCTTCCCATTAATAAGCAGATTACAGTTACGGAAGTAACCCTCACCACCCTGTTGAAATTGCTCTTAACAAAGGTTATTATCAGTAATCTTATTGCTAAGTCCAAGTGGACATTTCTCAGTACTTTTCTTACCTGACAAAATAACATCTAGCATTCTTATATCCCCTGTCTTTATACCCTTTTCTCCATTTCTAGTTACATTGGTTTCCCTTCAGTCTTTGTACCTTCACAGTGTTCTTTTTCTCTTTAAATATCAGTGTTCTTCAGTCTTTTCTCTTACTCTTCATCTTTTCCTGAGCCTTCTGTTCCATTTTAAGTACTTTTATGAATGTGTGACTTGCAAATTTCTCTCCAGCCTAGATTTCACTTCTGAGAGATTCGTATTTGTTCGCTAGACAAATTTAATTGGGTATACCATAGGTATCTCAAACTCAACATTTTTTCTCAACTAAAACCTGTTCCTTTTCAAGTCACCTTGACTGTATCATCATGTACCCAGTTATTCAAGCTACAGGTTGTTCTAGGGGTCATCCTTTTATTCTTTCCTCACTGCCCCATCTCCATATCATAATATATAGTCACCAATTCCAGTTGATTCTGCCTTGGAAATCTTGTTGTATTGGCCCTCTTTTCTACATACTTACTGTTTTGATTATTGGAAGTCTTTCTATATAAATAATAGTTTATATTCGTGTGTCTACAGAATAAAATTTAGGAGGCAGAGATTCTATATTTTTAATGGTGACTCTGAGATGATTAGAAAGGTTGGCATGAAGAAGAGAGAAATAACTTGCCTCTATTTTGCACTTTTAATGGGGTAGATTTTTATAATGTTAAGAGAGTTGGTCCATTTGCCATTTTTTTATTTAATATTTAATGATCACTTTTTTAAAAATATATTTTTATTGATTCCAGAGAGGAAGGGAGAGGGAGAGAGATAGAAACATCAATGATGAGAGAAAATCATTGATTGGCTGCCTTCTGCACGCCCCACACTGGGAATGGAGCCTGCAACCCAGGCATGTGCCCTGACGGGAATCGAACCCTGACCTGGTTCATAGTTTGACGCTCACCCACTAGGCATGTGCCTCTTTAATACATTTGGTATTATGTTATTACATATTCTACCTCATTATATTGTTAGTGGCATTATAACAGTAGACAAAGTTGTTTATTTTATAAACTTAATAGACTTTATTTAGGAAGTGGTTTTCTTAGAAAGGTTTAAAAATGTTTGATCCATTTTTCCCAAACTAATTTTAATGTGTTCAAATTGTTTTAGAACCGTATTTTAATAGTTTTCAGTTATTAGCCTAAAAATAGATCCTTAATAAATTTATAAATTTATCTTAAAGGGTTTATTACTCTATTGATAGAAAGCATAACATTCTATTTTAAGAAAAAGATATTATCTAAGAATTTTTACTTTAATAATTTTTACTTTAATAATTTCCAATCTAATTTACATTTTAAGACAGTTTACTTTTAGTACTTTTAAAGATGATATCACCTGTATTGCATAGGTATTTTTTGACCTATTTAATATTACAAATATGATCAATGGTTCTGTCATCATTGATGTTTCTGTCTTCCTCTTTCTGAAATCAATAAAAATATTATTTAAAAAATATTACAAATTATATCAGTACATCTAGAAAATAGTAGTTGCCAAATGTTTAGTTTAAATGAGTCATTTCAGTTTACTGGACATATCTCTCTATGGGTATCAATTATTACAAAAAATGTTTAAAATAGAGAAAAGAGGAAAAAGACTTCATGTTCCTATCCCTCTAACCCAGGGGTGGGCAAACTTTTTGACTCGAGGGCCACAATGGGTTCTTAAACTGGACTGGAGGGCTGGAACAAAAGCATGGATGGAGTGTTTGTGTGAACTAATATAAATTCAAAGTAAACATCATTATATAAAAGGGTACTGTCTATTTTTTTTTTTTTAGTTTTATTCATTTCAAACGGGCTGGATCCGGCACAGGCCGTAGTTTGCCCACGGCTGCTCTAACCAATAATTGCGTGCAAGCATTTTATTGTCGTTTCTTAAAATCTGTATGCAATTTTGCATATTGCTTTTTTCCTCTTTTATGCTATACTAGAGGCCCTATGCACGAAATTCATGCAAGAGTAGGTCTTCTTTCCCTGGCTGCTGGCACCAGCTTCCCTCTGGCTGCCGGCAGGCACCCGGGACCCAGGCTTCCCTTGCAGCCCTGATTTCATCTGGAAGGGTGTCTGGTCTAATTAGCATATTATGCTTTTATTATTATAGGTGATGATATATTTTAAACACAGGGAATATTATTTAGTCTTCATAATTACATGTTTTGAAGGGAACTCTTCCCTAATAGCATTCAGTCTATCATTTGATAGTTTTCAATTTATTACAATTTTAGCATAATAAACAACTTCATTTATTATAGTCCCCTCCTTCTCAACTGTGCCCCCTACCACCACTCATATTTTTTTAGATTAGCTATGGAGAGGTAGAATTACTGGATCAAACCAATTTTAGTTCTTGATACAGTATTGCCAAAATGCTTTCTGGAAAGCTTATACCTGTTTAGGTTCTCACCATAGTGATTGAGTGTTCTGGTTTCCCTTTGCTGTCATTAGGATTTAGTAACATGTAATTGAGCAAATTTAATAATCTCTTATTTTAATTTTCAGCCAGATTGTATTTATGTCTTTATCATTTTATGTTTACTGATTTTTTGTAAATTGCATGATCAGATTATTTGGAGTGGGGAGGGTTTTTTTTTTAATTCTTCATATAGTAAAGATATTAATTGTATACTTCGTATTTATTTCAGTGGTTTTCCCCAATTTATTGTTTACTATTTATTCTCAGCATACTTAGGATTTACTTTTATGTGAATACAAAACCTGTCTAACTTGCCCTAAGTGGTTTGGCTCAGTGGATAGGGTGTCGGCCAGAGGACTAAAGGGTCCCAGGTTTGATTCCGGTCAAGGGCATGTACCTGGGTTGCGGGCACATACCCAGTAGGGAGTGTGCAGGAGGCAGCTGATCGGTGTTTCTCTCTCATCACTGTTTCTAACTCTATCCTTCTCTCTTCCTCTCTGTAAAAAATCAATAAAATATATTTAAAAACAAAACAAAAAACCTGTCAAACTTTTTTTTTTGCATCCCAAATTAGTAAGATCTCTCTTTTTAAAAGTTCTATTTTGTATGTTGTTTGATTTTTAAATCTTACTTATTTTTAATCTACTTACTATCTTGGTGTTGTATAAGGCAGCCTTTTCCAATTGGAGAGAATTAAACTCTGATGCTCTGAGCCCTCCATTGTTTACTGTGCATTAATTCCTCTCTGTGTCTGGACTGGTACTAGGTATGCACCATCCTTGGAAGAATTGAGAAAACCCTTATTTAAGTCATTTTTCTGTGTTCTGTATCTGAGATGAAGAATCCTAACTAAAGAAAGCCTGTTAAAGCTCTAAATAAATCTTTTTCAAAATTCTTTAGCGAATTGTCTCAACTGAATAATCCTGCATCATAGACTTCTTGTGAGGATTAAAATGATGAAATGCAGATAAAATAGTATAGTGATTGGCTTACATATAGAAAATACCAAGATGTAGATGTTAGCTATAATTTTTCTCATTTTTTTAAATTTAGGTATATTTGAGGATTTTCTTTTTTGGGTTGGTACTAATTTAACCATATGGGCATTCGATGTGGTTGAATTATCTTGGAACTAGTTTTCTATTTTCCTGACTTCTGTTGCTATTCTTGCTTTTTATTTTTCATACAGTAATTTTTTTCTGACTTGTTTATTCTTACCTGTTCTATTAAATTCCAAGAAGAATCACAGTGAGGTTTTTGTTGGAATTTCATTAAGCCTGTACATTTAGGGAAAAAAAAAATGGTATGTTTGTAATACTTGACTTCCTACCAGGGAAGAGAGTTTGTTTTTCTTCTTATAAAATTTTATCTTCTATTGTTTTATAGAGTTTAGTAGTGCTTCTCCACATAGGGCAAATAATACTATTCCTACATATTTTTTTTGTCACTACAGACAGTCCTCAGGTTATGTCGGACTTGCAACATCTGTTGTTTCCTGGTTATGTCGCCATCTCCCATTTATTTATAAGAAAAAAAGTTCCGTCATTTCGACGTATGTACATGTGTGCTTTATGTTTTTTATTATTTATTTACCACAAGTAAAGCTCAGGAGTTGTTATCTTTTAAATTTTTTTATTGTTTCACTTCATTACTGCTGTGTATGTGTTCCATGTGAGTGACGGAGGTGCTTATGTAGGTGGGTTCTGACTTACAGCGAAGATCTCGTTAAGTCGCACCATAGG